TAGGATCAGCCTTTTCATTAAGGAGTAACTCAACCACTTGTTGATGACCATTTAGACTAGCCAACTTGAGTGCTGTTGAGCCATAATTATTTTGAATGTTAGGATCAACCTTTTCATTAAGGAGTAACTCAACCACTTGTTGATGACCATTTTGACTAGCTAACATGAGTGCTGTTGAGCCATAATTATTTTGAATGTTAGGATCAGCCTTTTCATTAAGGAGTAACTCAACCACTTGTTGATGACCATTTAGACTAGCTAACATGAGTGCTGTCCTGCCATCATTGTCTTGAATGTTAGGATCAGCCTTTTCATTAAGGAGTAACTCAACCACTTGTTGATGACCATTTAGACTAGCCAACTTGAGTGCTGTTGAGCCATAATTATTTTGAATGCTAGGATCAGCCTTTTCATTAAGGAGTAACTCAACCACTTGTTGATGACCATTTAGACTAGCTAACATGAGTGCTGTCCTGCCATCATTGTCTTGAATGTTAGGATCAGCCTTTTCATTAAGGAGTAACTCAACCACTTGTTGATGACCATTTAGACTAGCCAACTTGAGTGCTGTTGAGCCATAATTATTTTGAATGTTAGGATCAGCCTTTTCATTAAGGAGTAACTCAACCACTTGTTGATGACCATTTAGACTAGCTAACATGAATGCTGTCCTGCCATCATTGTCTTGAATGTTAGGATCAGCCTTTTCATTAAGGAGTAACTCAACCACTTGTTGATGACCATTTAGACTAGCTAACATGAGTGCTGTTGAGCCATAATTATTTTGAATGTTAGGATCAACCTTTTCATTAAGGAGTAACTCAACCACTTGTTGATGACCATTTAGACTAGCTAACATGAGTGCTGTTGCACCATTATTCTCTTGAATGTTAGGATCAGCCTTTTCATTAAGGAGTAACTCAACCACTTGTTGATGACCATTTTGACTAGCTAACATGAGTGCTGTCCTGCCATCATTGTGTTGAATGTTAGGATCAGCCTTTTCATTAAGGAGTAACTCAACCACTTGTTGATGACCATTTTGACTAGCTAACATGAGTGCTGTCCTGCCATCATTGTGTTGAATGTTAGGATCAGCCTTTTCATTAAGGAGTAACTCAACCACTTGTTGATGACCATTTTGACTAGCTAACATGAGTGCTGTTGCACCATTATTCTCTTGAATGTTAGGATCAACCTTTTCATTAAGGAGTAACTCAACCACTTGTTGATGACAATTTTGACTAGCTAACATGAGTGCTGTCCTGCCATCATTGTGTTGAATGTTAGGATCAGCCTTTTCATTAAAGAGCAACTCAACCACTTGTTGATGACCATTTTGACTAGCCAACATGAGTGCTGTCCAGCCATCACTGTCATGAATATTAGAAATAACCTTTTCATTAATAAGGAATAACTCAAATAGTCGTTGATTACCATTTAGGCTAGCTTTTATGAATGCTATTGCGCTATTAATCTTTTGAATGTTAGGATCAACCTTTTCATTAAGGAGTAACTCAACCACTTGTTGATGACCATTTTGACTAGCTAACATGAGTGCTGTCCAGCCATTATTCTCTTGAATGTTAGGATCAGCCTTTTCATTAAGGAGTAACTCAACCACTTGTTGATGACCATTTTGACTAGCTACCATGAGTGCTGTCCAGCCATTATTCTCTTGAATGTTAGGATCAGCCTTTTCATTAAGGAGTAACTCAACCACTTGTTGATGACCATTTTGACTAGCTACCATGAGTGCTGTCCTGCCATCATTGTCTTGAATGTTAGGATCAGCCTTTTCATTAAGGAGTAACTCAACCACTTGTTGATGACCATTTAGACTAGCCAACTTGAGTGCTGTTGAGCCATAATTATTTTGAATGTTAGGATCAGCCTTTTCATTAAGGAGTAACTCAACCACTTGTTGATGACCATTTAGACTAGCTAACATGAATGCTGTCCTGCCAT